ACACACACACACACACACACACACACACACACACACACACACACACACACACACACACACACACACACACACACACACACAGTTGACCAGTAAAATATAAATTTATTAATTCGAGCGAAGCCAGGTACTTTAGCTAGTGTTAAATATAACTAGTTGAAACTGACTGTATATATATAAAATGGAAGTTCCTGATCAATGCGAAAAAAGAGAAATTCTAAGGTTAAAAGAAGCATTTTCAAAATTTTGAAAATGGTAGAAATACTGAACCAAGTTATGTGAACTTTTTAAACTCAAACCAGATACATTAAAGTTCTTGTTTATCATTCATGGTTGTTCCAGAAGTGAAGTCCAATTTCAGTTGATTTTGAAATTACTATTAAACTCAATCATGGTTTTAATACCATTTGATACCATAAAGGCTGAAAACACAGTCAAAGTACTGACTAACATTGATTTTTGTAAACAATACATGAGTGATCAACAGAAGGAACCAAATACTTTATTAAATGGTAAAAGACAAAGACATTTTCCATTTTGTGTGTTTTAGATAAATTTGGTTGTATTGAAATTAATTTCATATTTTTCTATGTCTTATTATCCATATGATCAAGTATTTGCCCATCCAAAAAATAGGTGATGGGTCAATGGCTAAAAGCCTCATATATAACATACATATGTAACTTCAGTAAAAAATGTATTGATATTATGCAAATACTCTACTGATATGATGAGTAGTTCATAAATGTAGGTTTCTATCTATCTGTGATAAGTAAATAACCTTGTTTTATTAATTAATTATATAAAAAGTGTTGCATTTAAACTTTACCTCTAATTGAACTTACACCTGTAATTTATTTTTCAGTATTGTTGTGTGTATACATTATACATATATTAACTTTCTGAACTTATTTCTTGTGTTTCTAATTGTTATCTATATAGTTTGAAGTTAATTAAAACTGACATGTATGTGTATATATATATGTACAAGTTATTTCATTAATTTTAGAATCAAGTTTTTTATTATGGAGTTTGTTTTTAAAAATTTCTTTCAAGCTATTTCAAACAAAAAGTCATCAGTAGCAAAACTTCATTTGAATTTTGTAGACATTTGTCATTTTTGCATCCTATTTAAAAATAATACACACATCCATTCAAAATCTACAATTTTGCAAGTATTAATAATATTAACAAACATTTGAATTTCAATATATACCTACAATGTAAAATATTCACCTGAGCAAGTAATTATTTTTTTTTCTAAAAGCTTTCAACAGAGTTTATGATTCCAAAGAATAAATTTTTGTTGAAACATCTTCTTTCTTTATACTATTAACTAAGATTGAAAGGTCATCCTACCTTATTTCTGTAAGTACAAAGTTGGGTGATTTGACCAACTTTGAAACAGTAAAACTGTATGTAATATTAATGACTATACTACGTGTATATTCATGAAATTTGGCAAGCTTTTAGTAAACATTAAAGTCTGTTCGAATTCAATGACGAGGAACCCACATTGATACTAATAATGGTTGGAAACGGCTTGAATGGGTAAAGTATTTGTACTAAAGATTTGTCTGTACATTTTTAAAGGGCCCGGCATGGGCAGGTGGTTAGGGCGCTCGACTCGCAATCTGCGGGTCGCGGGTTCGAATCCCCATCACACCAAACATGCTTGCCCTTTTAGCTGTGGGGGCATTATAATGTGACGGTCAATCCCACTATTCGTTGGTAAAAGAGTAGCCCACGAGTTGGCAGTGGGTGGTGATGACTAGCTGCCTTCCCTCTAGTCTTACACTGCAAAATTAGGGACGGCTAGTGCAGATAGCCCTCGTGTAGCTTTGCGCGAAATCCATAACAAACATACAAACATTTTTAACGACTTTACTGAATCAGTCAGAGTGAAAGATGATTTTTCATGCAAAAAATATATTAACTTCTTTTCGTCTTAAAGTTTATTTCATTTGCTTCTCTAACCTTCTAAATGAATATCAAAGTTTTTTTCAGTGAAACTTTATATTATATCTCTGTTTTCTATGCCTTAACAATGATTA